GACTATGTGAAGATTAAATATTTTTCTTGTGTTTAGCACAACATAAACTTGACTAACTTTGGAGTGATTCACATCTGCAATAGCATGCGAATAATTTATGCTGTCAGTTTTCGTTTTCAGGTGAAGAAGAATCTTGGTGAGGGCCGATATTTTGCAAATATAAAAAAAAGGTACCAACCTTTGTCTCTGAAAGCCAAAAAAAAAGAAGAAAATTTGAAGAACAATAATATTTATTTGATAAGCACATGCACGCGTTCTATTCAACAGTTTGGTATATTTACAACAACAAAAAGAAACTTATATAGCGCAGAAACAGATATGCAATAACTATTCTTTCACATCTCTCTAAAGCTTTGGTGCGTTTCTTTTTTTTTTCGTTGTTTATACATACGGGCGGCGAAGAGTAGGTCGATTATAGCGCTTGGTGATTCCCATTTAAGAAAATTATAAAAATACTAAAGTTAATCTTAAAGCTTTTTGTTCTTGGTCTTTTATTTCACACATTTTTATCAGTTTCATTGAGCGTGGTGACGCACAACGTAAACAGGACTGAAATAGGTCTAATTTTGCTTGCCACGGTCGCTCCTCCAAACTGCAGAGCTGCGTGCCTGTCAAAGTCAGACGACTATAAAACTCACGAACAAGACAAGTTACGTTAACAAAGCAGACGAACACAATCTACGTCAAAAACGTAGACGAATGAATTAAATATTCAATAAAATGAGCAAACGCAAACAAGACGGAAAAGAAGTAAAATAAATAAGTTCTTGAAATAGTGCCCAAAGCCTAGCTGGGGAAGTGACACTAAAATGAACACCAACGAGTAAACCAATTACATTCCTGTTGAAAAACGCAGCGAATCAAATTATCTCTTAATAAGCGGACAGAGGCGTATGGCAACACTAGAAGACAGTCAAACCGAGCGCGGTGCTGTCTGCTTCAGAGCTCTGGTAAATGGTTTTTTTACGCGAAACTAACTGTCCCATGGTACGCAGCCGCGCTATCTGTTACCACGAAAAACGGCACCTAGTTCCATTGGCTGAGTGTAGCGGAACCTAAATGCTCCTTGGCTGAGCGCGTTAGTTGATGCCCGACTTTTTCAGAGCGATGGTTGACACCGTCTGCTTTGAAGGGTCATTTGATACTGGCTGCTTTAGGGCGCCGGTCGCAAGTGCGAATACGTTTTTGAGCACGGAAGCATAATTTTGCTGCATTGTTTACCTTGTACAGTTTCGCATAAACGGCACTTGTTGGTATTTATGCGTATCCATAAAAGTGCCGTTTTTCTGTTTTTGTATTTTAGTTTTTTCCTGTTTTGTTGTCAGTCTGAAGAGAAAATTATTTGTCGGAGAATAGTTAAAAAAA